CTGAGGGAGGATGAGCTGGGGGTCCGGACTCCCGGGTCTGAGGGAGGAGGGGCTGGGAGTCCGGACTCCCGGGGCTGAGGGAGGAGGGGGCTGGGGGTCTGGACTCTTGGGTCTGAGGGAGGAGGGGCTGTGGGTCTGGACTCCCGGGGCTGAGGGAGGAGGGGCTGGGAGTCCGGATTCCCGGGGCTGAGGGAGGAGGGGGCTGGGGGTCCGGACTCCCGGGGCTGAGGAGGAGGGGCTGCGGGCCCTGACAGGGAAAGGGCTCTGGGAGGCGTGGGGGGGGGGGCACTGCCCAAAAGCTGCTGCTTCAGCCCCTCCACCACCACAGCTGTCCTCTTTTGTCTTATGACATGTCCATGGGAACCTGATCTGAGTGGGGATTAGGAGAAGGTATTTGGGAAGGGACCCTGGCCTGAAAACAATAGCTGCCCCACCCCCCAAAGGCTATTTCAGGGGGGATGTCGTACATGGTGATACAGAGGACATTTCCTAAGAAGGGATTCAAGGGGGGAGGCCCCTGGGAGAATTAGTCACACCGACTCCCTCTCGCACCCCACTCCCCCCCCCCCGTTATCTTCCCACCTGTCCCCTCCTTGCCACAGCACCCACAGACTGGGGAGGAGGGTTGTCCACAGACCTCATCCTGAGCCCTACATAGACAGCACCCCATCTTTGAGATCCCCTGGGACCCACAGTACCCAGGTTTAAGAGCACCCCAAATCCTGAGATCCACAGATCCTGACACCCCAACTGGTGATCCCCCTGGTTTCTGGGGACAAGCAAGTCCCCATGTCTCCAGAGTCTGAGACCCCAATTCTTGAGACTCCAGACTCTGGGCTCAGATATCCTCAGCTCTTGATGCCCTAGGTCTCAACATGTTCTGAAGCCTCAATATCCTGAGACCCCAAAACCCGAATGCTCAAGCTCCAAGATGTATTCACAATGCCCCGAATTTTGACAGCTCCAGTCATAAGGCCTCTGACCCAGAGACCTCATTTCTCAAACCCCCAGAGTCTGAGACTCCCTGTCCTGAACCCCAGACCATCCAAGCCCAGATACCCCCATTTTCTGAGATTCCCTCAGAATCAGATCTCAGACCTGTTAGGTCTGAGGGTGTCCCATTCTGGGACACCCCAATCTTGAAACCCCAGACTCTGGAACTCTGAAATCCTAATAATCTGTCTTCAGTCCCCTAAAAGCCCGAGCTTCCCCAGAATTCCCAAGCCTCCATCTTGTGCCCCCTCCATCCCCATAGCTCATCACACCCCTCATGTCTCCCACCCCTCCTGTCCTCTCCCCCAAGGACAAAGTCCCTGGGGACCCCAGGACCGTTACCTAAGGCTGGGTCTGCAGAGTCCAGGAGCTGCGGGACAGAGCCTTGCTGAAGGAGCTGAAGCACCCCTGGGGTTTATAGGGGAGGCTCGGCCCCGCCCCCGCTGGGGAGAGGGAGGGCCAGAGAATTCCTTTCTCCAGCCCCAAGTCCCAGCTCAGGGGCTGCCCTGCCCCCAGTCTGGCTTCACATTCAGAATCCCAGACCTCCTGGCTGCTTGGGGACCCCTCCACCCCATCAGCACTGCCTTGAACCCAGGCTGGGTCAGGTGACCTCCAACCTCTTACAGCAGGCTGTGCTCTATGCTTTGAGGTCCCTGGGCTCAGCACACAATAGGTCTTTGGAGAATACTTGTTGACAAAAGGGGTACAGGGGCTGCTTTCTCTTATGTGGCTCTGGTTCTGGTTTCTGTGTCTCTCTGTCTCCCCACCTCCCTGCCCCCACCCCTTTGTCTGCTACCAGGATTCCACCCTGGTGACAACAGGCACTAAAGTGGGGAAGCAGGTGTGCGCCGGGGGAGGGGAGAGGGTGTGGTGTCAGGCCCCGCTCGACCTCACACTCCCCCACCTCCATCTGACACTGATCTGTTTCTCGGTATTCCTCTCCCTGCCGTTTCCCTGCCACGCCATGACCTTGAACTCTAGGGGAGCCGGCCACCCCTCCTGCCTCTCCGTGTCTGTCTCTCTCACAGTCGGCCAACTCTGTGTCTATTTCTGGGGGTTCTCTCTGGGTTGCTTTCAGGCTCTGTCTGCATCTCTCCGCCTCTGTGTCTTTCACTCTCCGGGTCTCCCCGCACATTTCTGTCTCTGCATTTCCACAGGGGTCTCTGTGAATCTGCCTCACTCTCAGTATCCATCTATAGGTCTCTATCTGTGACCCCATTTCCCTCTCTCCTTGGCTCTGGATCTGTGTCTCTATCTTTCTAGATCTTTCTGGGGCGTCCTCCTCCACATCTCTGCCATCCTTCCTCTTTGGGTCCCCATGTCTGTCTCTGTGGTCTCTGTGCCCTGCGATGCACATGTGCCTCTCCAGCGTCCCTTTCTTTGCACATCTTTCTAGGAATCTCTGTCTTTCCCCCCACTCCATGGGTCTCTGGCTCTGTCTGTGTCTCTGGGTGTCTCTCTTTGAGCCTTGGTCCGGCCTCTCTGGGCACCCCGAGAATTCCCCGTTCTGCAGCCCAGCTCCGCTCCTGGGTGTGGTGTGGCTCTGGGGGACCCTCCCCTCCGTCTTCTCGTCCTCCTCACACCTCACCCCACAGGCAGCAGACAGGCAGCCGCTCCTAGCCTAGAGAGCAACTTTATTACTCCGGGATGCCTCCAGGGCTAGCGCAGGGGGCAGGCGGTCTCAGCCTTCGAATTTTTTCTTGCGGCCCTCCATGCCGCTCAGCGCGTCGATGTTCTTCCGCCAGTCTCCCACCTCCCGGTTCTCCTGGGGGAATGCGGTCAAGGGTTAGGGTCTCCCCCTGGTCGACAGTCTCTCAAATATCCTCCGACCACCCTCCAGCCTGCTGGGCCACGGGGTTTCGGATGTCTGCCTGGGGATCTGGTTCTGAACATGTCTAGTCCCCCAGGCAATCCCATCAAATTTGCCCCCACGAACACTCCGCCCTCCTCACACACTGCGGGCCTCCGGGCTCATCTTCCCCTTCTGGCCTCCCCCGTGCACTACTTTTCTCTCTCACGGACATCCCGACTCCTTGCTACTTCCTTCCTCCCTAACACAATTCCTGGCTTTCCTCTTCCAGCTTCTGTCTTCCTCTCGCCCTTCTAGCCCCTCCTAGAGGGGTGCCAGAGGACCCTCTACCAGATCCTTCTCCCCATAACTCCAAGTGCCACCTGCCCTGAGCTGAGGCCCTAGGACTGTTGTCCCCCGCACCCTCTCCCCCGAGCAGCCCCTTTCCTGGCCCGAGCCACACTCACCTTCTCTGTGTCCTCCTTCTTCACCTGCTTGAGGTGGGCCCGCAGGTCTAAGGTCTCCTTAGCCCTGGTGCCCAGCAGGGCCTGCATCATGGCATCCGCGGAGATCCTCACCCTTCGCAGGGTGGGCCGCTTAAATTTGCCCCGAAGGTCAAAGATCTTCTGGGTCAGATCTGCGATCTGGGGGCAGCGATAAGGGGAGGTGGAAACCACCCCCCCATCCACCTCCCCCAGCCCCATGTGTCCACTCTACATTTCCCTCCTCTCTCTCCAAGCCTAAGGAGGCTCAGCTCCCACTGCCTTCGGGGAAAAATCCACGGGCCTCATCAGTAACTGTAAGTCCTCCCCGATCCGCCCCGTTTCCTCTCGGCAAGGCACTGACACATCCCGGTCCAGCTGCAGGCGTCCCACGATTCCCAACCCACACCTGAGCTCACGCATCAACCCCTGATGCTCCGGCTCCACGGCCTCCCATCTCCTGGCTTCTGCGTTCTGTCCCTTCCGCCTGGACCAGCCTTCCTAGCCACTCTACTCAGTCTTCTGCCCCGTCCCTTCCAGGCCCACAGAGCTGTTCTGGGTCTCCTGGTGTCTGCAAAGGCAGCTGCAAGGGGGATGACACGAGACCCTGCCTGGAAGAGACCAAGACTGACCGGGACCCCCACCTCTGCCATGTTCTTTGTGACTTTCGCCTCCACGTCGTATCTCTCTTCATCCACTTTGTCCACGCGGGCGTGGAGTTGTCGGCACAAGTCCTGGTCAAGGAATTGTGGTATATGTGGTGGGGGGGCCCCGACTCCTGAGTCCAGAGGAGGAGGGGTTTGGGGTCTGGAGATCTGGTCCTGGAGGCACAGTTTGAAGCGGACTCTGGGGCAGCTCGAAGAAAGGGTGCTAGGAGCCAGGAGTCCTGAGAATCTGACAGAATTGGAGCTGGAGAAATCACCTCCGGATTTTGAGGCCCTAGGCAGCCACAGGCCACATTTCTAAACTCCTGAGGGTAAGGATTGGGAGGCTGGACCCCAAGGTCCCCAGCAGAAGTGGAGTATAGTGACTAGACCCATGAGCCCCAAGGATGCGAAAGCCGACGTTAGGAACCTCGGATCCCCAGCTGGGCAGGGGTCCCTAATGAGAGCCGGTACCTGCAGCTCCGCAAAGCTCAGCCCGGCCAATTCCAGGGGCTGGCACCGCGTGTTCAGAGCGCGCCCCTTCTCTCCACGCCGCTCCTCCGCCTCCCGCTCCAGCTCTTGCTTCGCAATCTGCAGCATCAGGGTCTGCGGAGGGAAGGCCAGGGACCGCAGCCCACCCGGGACAGCGGATGAGGGCCGCGCCGCACCGGGGAAGCCGCCCTGGCCAGGACAGCCCTCTCTCTAGGCGCAGGACCGGTCAGCTGTCCCGCAGGGCCACCCCCCCTTCAAGGTAGGGTTCATCGTTCCAAGGCTCCGCCCCTACACCCCCAACCCTCAAGCACCCTGAGGACATCTAGGCACCCGCTCCAGGCCCACCGGCACCTTCAGCTGCAGCTTCCTCGAGGCGGAGATCTTGGACTTTTTCTGCGGGAATGGAATGGAGCCAGGAACAGTGAGGGCAGGGAACGGAAGACGGACGGTGGGCCGGGGGCCTCACGGCCACTCCCTCACACCTGGCCCGGCTTTGGGCCTGCCCCCAACTCTGGCCAAATCTACGGGAAGCCACGCCCCTCGCCCCACCCACCAATCCTGGCCCCTGATCTGTTAGGCACTGCCCCCTATACCCTAAGCATCGCAGTTCCCACGGACAACGGGACTCCGCCCATAGGCAGGTCTCACCAATCCGAGCCCTCCCTCTGCAAAACCCCGCCCTTAAAGAGCGGCAAGCTCCTAGGCACCGCCCAAGAGCAAAGCCCCGCCGCGTCCAGGGCTCCGGTCCCGCCGTCATGCCTAGGTGCCACCACCTCTGCAGACTGGGAACCCCGACCCGCACAACCCCCTCCTCACCTTGGCGTGCGGCTCCGTGGCGTACGCGCGGTAGTTGGCAGAAGACCGGCGTCGGATCGGGGCCGGAGCTGGGGGCGGGCACCCCGCCTGGGGTTGGGGGAACGGGGCCGCGTCACCGCCGGGCCCCCGCTTCCCCCCTCCACGCCGTCTCCTGGGGTTGCAGCCTCCCGCCCCAGGCCCCACCCTGCTGCGCCCTCCCCTGCCGGTCGCCCCTCGCCAGTGCCCGCTCTCACCGCATCGCTGCTCCTGGAGGGAGAGACCGGGAGAAGGGATTAATGGTGGGCCTGTGTCCCCTCCAGTCTAAGAGACCCCAGAGGAAGGCCTACCAGCTCCTCCGTCCTAAGATCCTAGGAGCCCTGATTCCCAAACTCTTCCCTCCTGCAGACACCAGGGATGCTGTCCCCACCTCCCTTCTCAGGCCCTGTGTCCAACCTTGCAGTCTCATCCCCCACCGCCTCGGGCCCCGGGGAGTCCCAGTTACCAAGCTGCACTCACTCGTCTGCCATGCTGAGACTCGGGCCAGGGGTTGCAGGAGGCACAGACGGGGCAAGGGGCGCTTGGAGGGTCAGTGAGGGCACGCCCGGGGTGACCTTGAAGGCCCCTGGAACTTTGCGCTCCTCTGGGCTGCTCAAGCTTCACTGAGGACACTGAGATAAGGGGCGTGGACTGAGACTAAATATACTGCTGCCACCTCCTCCCCCTGCCCAGGATGTGAGATAACGGGGCGCGTGAGAGGTGGGGTGGGCTGCTGTCCAGCTGGATCACCCTTCCACCTTGGCGGCCTGGGGACTCAGACCCAGCAGTGCAGACCCCCAGCCTCTCCTCCCTCAGACCCAGGAGTCCAGGCCCCCAATCCCCACCTCCCTCCTCTCGACCCAGGAGTCCAGACCCCCAGCCCCTCTTCCCTCAGATCCAGGAGTCCAGGACCCCAGCCCCTCCTCCCTCAGACCCAGGAGTTCAGACCCCAGTCCCTCCTCCTCAGACCCAGGAGTCCAGGCCCCTAGTCCCTCCTCCCTCAGACCCAGGAGTCCAGGCCCCCAGCCCCTCCTCTCTCAAACCCAGGATTCCAGACACCCAGCCCCTCCTCTCTCAGACCCAGGAGTCTAGACCCCCAGCTCCTCCTCCCTCAGACCCAGGAGTCTGAGCCTCATCCCCACATTGGACTGCAATATTCCTAAGAGCTATGGTCAGTTTCTGTACCCGAAACTTGTTAGCCACTCAATAAAATTTGTTGATTTATTTGAGGATCCAGGTATGGCCCAGACTCTCAGGCCACAGCAGTAAGGAGAAATCCACCTCTGGTTCAGTAGGAACTGGGTGTCTCCTGACCACTCGAGCTCATCCCGTCTCCCAGTCCTGGAGACAAGACTGAAGACCGGAAAGACACCATGGGCACATGAAGAAGAGGACCCCACTCTCTTTACTGAGCCCCTGGGGGTGTTGAACAGCCCTGGAGAGCAATTCCCCCATCCCCAGTTAAAACAGGACCTCGGGGGACAAGGAGGCCACACAGAGGGCCTGAGACTCAGGGCCCATCTCTGTAGGCAGTGTCTCAAGAGTAGAACGTGTAACTCTAAAAGAACAATCTAGAATTGTAGGAACAGAACACAGAATCCCAGGACGGTAATTTGAAATGCCAGCAACACCTCTGGAGCTGATAGAGACTGCTGAGAACAGAACTGAGTGTTCTAGAGGCGGGCTCAAATTCCAGGACCTGACTTTACAAGTCAGAGATGGGGACAGGGGTCAGACTCTCCGGTTGTGGGGTCTGACTCTGTGGGTAGAGCCGGAGACTCTGGGGGCCGCTTGAGGGGCTCAGGGGGTGGGGTCCCGCCTTCCAGAGCCTGGCTCAGTTCCTCAAGGGGCGGGGTTGGGACGTCAGGGGGCGGAGTCATGGAGTCCACAGCGGAGTCAGCGCCGCAAGCGGAGTCTGGGGCCTTGTGGAAGCGCGCGAAGGTCTCCGAGGGCCTGGCCTGCGGCAGTGGGGTGAACCCAGCCGCCCGAGCGAGCTCCCCGACCCGGCTGGCAAACCCCTGCAGCTGCTCCTGCCGCAGGTCCACCAGGTATCTGAAACCAGGAAGGGGGCCGTTAGGGGTCCTGGCTTCCAGCCCTCAGCCTGGACGCTCCCTGCCCAGCCCTCCGCTGGCTCACCGCGCTAATTCCACCACCAGGCGTCCTCCAGGGGCCACGGTGGCCCCCAGATCTGGGCTAAGAAGATGCACCATCCTGCGCAGAGGGAAGGGAGGGCCGAGGCTGAGACTTCCAGGTCCTGAGGGAGGAGTGGGGCTGGGGGATCTGACACTGATTAAGGAGGGGCTGGGGGCCAGGATTCCTGGGTGTGAGGAGGAGGAGCTGGGGGAGCAAAGTCTGGGAACCTCTCTCTTACCCACAGGCCACATAGAGAAGCTGGAACCGTTCCTTGTAGCAGCTTTTGTGGTGAAGGGTCTGGGCAGAGCCGAGAGGCAGGAAGTGCACAGTGAAGAATTCCGGGGCAGGAGCAGCTGGGGGAGAACTGGCAGAGTTAGGCCGACCCACGAAGCTTGGAGAAAATACTCCTTGCCTGTCCTGAAGCCCTTTCTCATCCTTTCTCGTAGATGGATTCCTGGAAAATTCTGGGAAGGGCAGCCCGGCAAGCAGACCCATTTTACAAAGTAGGCTGCTGAGACTCAGGAGAGGGAAAGAGTGGGTGGCCCGTGGCCATACAGGGCATCCAAACACCGAGGAAGAGCCAGGTTGGGGGATGGTTACAAGGAGGCATGACCAGAATGGGGCTCCAAAGGTGAGCTGGGACCCAGCACCTTGCTAGAATGCTCTGTCTTTTAGACTTCTGCAGGTAGGATTAGAATACTAATGTTGGAATTCAGAGTGATAACATGGTGTCAGGATTTAGGAAAGAGAGAAATACAGAGAAAGAAAAAGACAATGTCAGGAACAGGAAATCACTTGTTCAGACACTGGAAACCATATTGGTACGCGCTCGGACATGAAATACCTGAAGCCCGGGATGGGGGTCCGGGTCCCACTCTTGCCCGGAGGATGATGTGCCCCCTTTACCACCCAACTCCCAATGCAGGGGGGTGAGCTGACTCGGACGCTTACCGCGCTCTGGGCTTCCATCCCCGTCCTGGTGCACTTGCTCAGGCTTTCCCTGGGCGGTTCTCGGGCGCCCCCAGGCGGCCACCTCTCGGAACAGCTCGGTCACGTTGTGCTGCGTGATCTCACCGGCGGTCTGGGGAGAGAAGAGGCGCAGCCCCGGGTGACCCGGCAAGGCCTAGAGTACCCCACCCCTCCCCCGAATGCCCAGCGCTAGCTTGGATTTCCGGACCGGGTTGAGAAAGTACAGAACAGCGGAACGGCCCCCAGCCCCAGCACCTCCGGTCACACACCTTGACTGGCTGTCCATTGCTGGTCCGCAGGAGGCTGCCATCATCTGCTTCGATGCCAAAGGCCACGAATGGCCCCGTGGCGATGTCCCCCCAATACCCGCGTGCTGCGACACGCTCTCCGTGCTGGGGAAGCAGGGAGACAAGAGGCAAGTGAGGTCAATGTTGGAGACCCCAGTTCCTGTGTCCCCGAAAAGAAGGACTGGCCAGGGTAGGGAGTGGACACGCACATGACTCAGGAGGCGACCTGACGCAAGGGTCCGGTTTGGCATGTGGTAGGCGCTGGAGTCTCTGAGCTCAAAGGCCACACCAGTGTCCCTCCAACGCCGGAATTCGCGAGTGTGGATGACTCGGGCCTGGGTAGGAGGACGAACAGAGGTCGAAGCAAATCTGGTATATGGGCCCCCGGCCCCTCCTCCCTCGGACTCAGGAGTCCCGGCCCACAGCCTCTCAGCCCCACCTCCTGCACATCCAGAAATGGGGCCTCCAGCCCCCTTCCCAGGCCCCTCACCCCGCGGTCGTGCAGCTTCATGTGCAAGTCCCAGTCGCAGACACCGCGCCGGGCGTCGTAACGGGAGCCCAGGTAGTGGCGCAGCCTGGAGTCCCAGAGGCGGCTCATGGGGAAGGCCTCGGGCCCCTTCTCCCCGCCGGCCCAGAATCGGAACACAGCCTCCAGGGCGTCGCGCTCGCGGAACTGCACGGCCGGCATGCGTGGGGGAGAGAGCGAGGGAGAGGGGGCTGCAGGGAGAGCCGTTTCTCCCGCTCTACCCTCCCTCCCGTACCCGGGCATGGGAACCGTTCTCCCATTTCTCGGATGAAGAAACTGCAGTTGAGCGAGTAGAAACCACCCCCAAGTCACACCCCACACTGGGAGCTGGGGAGCTAGCGCTCGAACTCCATCAAGGAAAACCCTTTGGGGCTGCCCATTTCCAGTCTCCGCGTGGCCATCCGGATCCTGGGCAGTGACGGCACCTTGAGGGCGCCCAGGCTGAGCCAGGGCAGCTGCTCCGCCAGGCGGTCGGGCTCTGGGACCAGGTGCACCAGGCGCTTGGCCTGGGCGCGCACGAAGGCGGCCACCTGGGGGCGCAGCAGCGCGTTCCCCCACACCTCCAGGAAGGTCTCGCTCCTCTCTGGGGGGGAGGGGAGAGAGGGACGGATTAGTGGGGGGAGCAGCGGAGGGAAGCCAGAAACTGGACCCGTGCGGGTGCCGCATACCCTCTTTATAGTAATCTTATGATGTCATAGTCATGTGAGCATAAGGGACGCTGGCCAACTCCTCATCCACCCCTCAAACATAAAGAATAACTTAAACCTAATCTAGGCGTCCTTCTAGTCTTCCCCACCCTGCAGATGAGCGCAAACCTGAATTTCATGTTCAAATTTCCCTTGCCTTAAAAAAGAGAAAGTTATATATAGATGGGGGTGGAAATGGAGATTTATGCGTGCTAAAATAGTACAGTGTTAAATTGTTCCATTTTAATCAGGAATCTTACAGAATCTTACTATATACCTTGAGTTGTGTGAACATATACATCTGTATCAACGAATCTCTATCAATATGTAAATTGTTTCATTTCGTGGTTTGGGAATCTTAAAGTTATTTAAAGACAGAGAACCATATAACCTTAGTTAGATCTAGTTCCTTCAGTGGCCTTTACAAGGTGCACTGTGAAGTGTGTGCGGTGTATCCTGAGTGCTCTGGGATATTAAGAAAAAACTACCACCCATAATCGTGATAACAATAATCAGCACTAAGAGGTACTGAGTCTATAGCATAAGCCAGGAGCTGCGTGTTTTTTGTTTTTGTTTTCCAGTTGAATCCTCACAAGCACTCTATGGGAAAAGAACTTTTAGGATCTCCATTTTATCCATGTAGAAACAATGTAGGCCCAGAAAGCGGCAGATACTAGCCCCAGGTCACCCAGCAAGCACAGCCAGAATTTGAACAGACTGTCTCAGTCCAGACTCTCCTCAAGGTGCTAAGCCAAAGTCATTGTCACTGAGAAGTCGTCATCCTTGCCTCCCTGCCCAGATCCTCCTCTTCCTTCCAGGGCTGCATCCTCAAGGCAGACCCTCTGGGATTTGTGCCTCTAACTGAGGACACTGAGGCCCGTGGGGAGGCTCTGCGAAGGACTGAGCTCCTCCGAACCTTCCCCATATCTTGGAGACTCGCTACCTCTTAAGAAGTCCTTTGATCTCCTCTGGCCCTCTGCTGTGTCAGGAGATTTGGAATGCTTACCCTGTGTCATGCACGGGGCTGAGAATTTATGTGGATTTTTTTCTGGAATTCTCTCAGCGGCTGTAGGAGGTAGTATATTTTTGCACAGGTGGGAACAATGACCAGGACGTTTAACCAGACCATCGAAATGCCAGAACCCCTGTGGGCACGGGGAAGAGGCTGGCGGCCAGAATATCCCGCGCTTTGCAACTCACCTTGCAACCCCATCTTCTCAGGTTCCTCCAAAGCTAGGCTGAAGATCAGTATGTGTCGAGCCACAGCTTCCAGATTATTCTCTAGCACATAGAACTGGAAAGACAGAGCAAAATGATTCCGAGATCGGTGTCCCTGGCTCCCAGGAGACCCAAGAATGGAAGACCTCAGCCTCCTCCCTCCACAGGGTCCAGGCATTCTGTACACTGGCCTCCTTCCTTCAAACAGGGGAGTATGGACCCTCAGAACCCTCCTCCCCACCACTACTCCGGACACCCAGTCTTTAGGCTCTTCGTCCCACTTGAACCCAAAAGCCCACAACCCAGGAATTTGAGTCCCCAGCTTCTACCTCCCTTGGACCTAGCAGTCCAGGCCTCCAGTTCCCTTCTCCTTCAAGGACTCAGGTATCTGGGCTCTCATCTTCATCCTCCTCCCTCCAACGACCCCATTATCCCAGCTCACATGTAACCTCCTGCGAGGCCAGAGCGCCGCCCGGGCCAGGGTCCGAAGCAGGTGCCGCCCATCCACGGATCCCAGCAGCAGTACATCTAGCTCGGGGGTCCTGGGCTCTGCATCGCCCCGCAAGTCCGAGTCCACAGGAGGACCTGGCAAGATGGCACAGGCTGCGGTCTGTGGCCTGGAGAGCGCCCCCTGCAGCCTCCCCAGAACGATGGACTACAACTCCCAGCAAGACTCGCACTCCTGGCCTAGGTTCCTAAGGGAGCTGTGCCTCTAAGCATTCTGGGAATCGTAGTCCGCAGAGGCCACTTGGGCAGCCCAGTGAGGGGCGGCTCCACCGTTGGAGCCTCGGAGAACGTTAGCGCGCCGCCTGCCAGGGTGGGTCAGATGCGGTCCTGGGTGGGGACTCACTCTCAGCCTGCAGGTCCAGCGCCGGGGACAGGCCCCACCAGGACACGGAGCCGAAGCCTGCGCCCGAGCCTGCCGGTGTGGTCATCGCCCTGCAGAACAGACGTCCTGGGAGTCCCAAACCACCGTTTCTGCGTCGCCCACCCATGCCCCTCTCACCGCCCCTCTCCTCCCTGGGACACTCCCTCACCTCTGTCTTTCCAAAGACTCCGGGACGCCCCCTCCCTCCCTGCTCCGTGCTGCGCCGCTGTTCTACACCCGCTACACACAACTGCCCAGAGCTCCTTCTTTTTCGACCAGTCAACCAATGGGAGTACGCGGGTTGGCACAGGCGCGATAGACTGACCAATAGGAACGAGTGGGACCGGCCTGCTACGAACTTTTGGCCAATGGGAGCGCTCGCGGGAGTGGAGGGCGTGTGGACGCGGTTGTCATGACGACGGCGAAGGAGAAGAAGGGGCGGAGCTGGGGGGTTGGGGGCGGGGCCTTGGACGATCCACTTTTCTGGGATGGGGAAGTCTGGGTCGACTCAAATCGACCTAGAAAGGAACAGAATCTTGATTAATTCAAATTAAAGTGACGTCGCCTAGACCTCTGGGTCCCCTTCCCACCTCATACCGTGGTTCTACCACCAAGGCGGGAAAGGCAGCAAAGGGCTGGGGCTAGCTAACACTGGCCCCTGGTTGTTCAAGTGTCAGTAATTTTGCGACCTGGTTGTTACGCACAGTCATTACTAAAAATTAAATTGTTTTACTAATTACTAAAATTAAATTCAAATTAAATGCATTACATTAAAATAAAGTAATATACACTCAAAACTCATCACTTCTTATTTTACTATACTTTCCTGTTGTTGATGGTCTTAAGGTTTTTTACATCAATTGTTGTACCCAAATGAAGAAAATATTTTAACGCAATAGTTTAAAAAGTCAAACTGGCACACTATGACCACTGACTGTCTATTTTTCTAAATAAAATTTTATGAGAATCAGGGCCAGGATTATGGTGAACCAGAGCGGTCCAAGTGCAGGGTCAGACGCCATCTTTAAAATTTTTATATTTTATGCGTCATGGATCTGTGTGTGTGTGTGTGTGTGTGTTAATTTTGATTCTTATTGTATTAAAATACTATTTATCTTGATGACTGGTTTAGTTTGTCATCAGCTTGGCCTTAGATTTTGGGACCTTCATCCTGACCCTGGGAAATACTATATTACTATATGACAGCATACTAATAGGTATCTCCTCTTGACTCCATATTCAGTGATCACATTGGTGGCTTGAAATCAGCCACATTGTGAGTATTTACACCACGGAAATAGGCAGACGACGCAGCAGGGCTCCAGAAAGTGGGTAAGGGCACATTCATGGGAGGCACACCAAGTTCTCTCTGGCCTCTGCGTCTGAATTCTTTGCGTTGTCCCCTCTGTTCCTCCAATTTCTGCTCTTCCGCCCTCACCCCCCACCTTCTGCCACTGCCCCTGGAAATGTCCAAGTCCAGCAGGGGGGATCTCCTGCCTTCCCAGAAGAATGGCCACTGCAATCTACACCCTGTGACTCCCATCACTTCATATTCAGACCAGATGGCAGGATCCTGGAGAATGTGGCTTTTGGTGTCAGATAAGCCTGGCTTTCTGTCTTGCCTTCACCTGCTGGCTGAGAGACCTCAACCAGGTGACTTAACCTGTCTTTGAGGTCTATGAGGGCAGGGACTTGAGTGAACATCTCCTCCAGCTATGCAACCTGAGACGAGTCAGTCACTCTTTCTGGGCCTCAGTTTTCAGCTCTGTAAATTGGGAAATTGGGAATAGTAACATGTGGCTAGCAGTGAGTAGTGTGATGGACTGAAGGGGGCCATCCCCCTTCTGAGGACAGCTGTGGGCACCGGGGAGCGAAGCTGAGATTTCAGCACAGCCTGCAGGACTCACTGGCTGCCTGGCTCTCTTGAGAACACACCGAGTCTGCAACTTAGGGTGCCTTCTGCCTGGAACTCTCTTCCCCTTCATCTTTGCTTATTTTTATTGTAGTAAAATACACACAACATAAAGTTTAATGACATTTGCTACATTGACAATGTTGGGCAACCATCACCACTGTCTAGTTGCAGAAATTTCTTGTCATTCCCTAAGGAAATCCTGTAGTCATTAATCAGTCACTCCCCATTTCTCTCTCTCTCTCCCTAGTCTTGCAAACCACAGATCTGCTTTTACCCCCCTCTATGGATTTGCCTATTCTGTATATTTCGCACAGATGAAATCATACAATATGTGGCCCTTTGCATCTGGCTTCTTTCACTTACAATCATGCTTTCAAGGTTCATCATGTTGTAGCATGAATCAGTATAAACTTTCCTTTTTATGACTGAATAATATTCCATTGTGTTTCCTGCTCATCTTAGACAGCCTCGTTCCTTCTTGTCCTTCAAAGCATAGCTCAACATCACCTCTTTAGGAAAGCTGTCCCTAACTGCCCTTTCTAAATGATCTCAGCTCTCACTAGCTTATCACTGCCCAGTATGGACCACCGTTTGCAATGATTTTATTCTTCTCATTTGTCTGCTTTCTTGTTGAGACACAGAATCAGGGGCCCCAGTGTCATCATCTAACTCAGAACAGAATTCGATCCCAGGAATTATAGACGGATTTCCTGGCTATACGATCCTAGCCAGGTCATGTTACTTCTCAGCACAGTTTCCTTATTTGTCCACTGGGAATAATGATCATGTCTACTTCATGAGGTGGTTGTGAGGATCATTGTTAGCAGGAGTAGCAGAAAGCAATAACAGTGATACCTCATGATGTTTTCATAAAAATGTCCCCTCACTCACTCACATAGGAGAAATGAACAGATCCCTTTGAAGAAATTTGTTAAATCACATAGACATTACAATCGGTGTAACTGACCAGATTTCCCTTTTCCCATTGGCTACCAGAAAGCTCAGTGCAAGTTAATGCTCTGCCCTTTCTTTAGTACATGGGGGAACCTTTTGCCTCATTTTCCAGTTAACCTCCAGATCAGAGAGCTCTCTTGCCAAATTTCAAAGACCTTTGTCTCCCACCTGAAATCCTGTCTGGAATGAGAGGAGGGAGGAACAATGAAATGATTGTCTTTCCTAGACACAGATTAGAAGACAAAATTTGTTGAAGGAAGGAAGAGGTGCAACCATTGGCTTTTCCCTGCGTTACTCTGTCCTTTCTCCCATTCTCTGGGGATCTCATTCCCAGACTCTACATATCTACTTTGTTTCTGCAATGAGAGTAAGTCACTTGGGGGAAATTCTGGATCTGCATCAACTTGGGGTTCCAGCATCCAACAGAAGCTCCCACCCTGAAGAACTCAGGGAAAGTAGAATGGATGAATGATGGAAGAAAGAAGGGAAGGGAGGGAAATATGGGTATGAAAATCTATGGAAGTCACGGATGCAGGAGCAGATTAAACTCATGAGTAAGTGATTCTCACAGACTCTTCACAGCAAACATACAGGAGGTATTGTTCCGACCACAATATTTTCAGAAGAAAACACCCAGGTTCGGAGGGGTATGTGAATGAAAAAGTGAACACGTGGATGAGGGGGTGGGTGGGTCAGTTTCCCTCAGTGTATCCCCAGGATGGGCAGCCCTATCCTTGCCCTTGGGTGATCCCACTCTCTTGCCCCCCACCCCCACCTTGCCCACCCCACCAGTAAGCACCAGGTCAGGTCACCAAAGTTGCTGAGTATTTATTTGGTCCCAGGAGCAGTGCAGGATTCCGACTAGGGACAGGAGCAGGTGATCCTGTGCAGGAAGAGGGGTGCTGGGAGCGAAGGGGGAAGAAGGCAGGGTCACTGATTGTCAAAGCAGAGAGTGGGAGCAGGGATTGGGGGAGGCCAGATTGCTCTCCTCCCCCAGGGGTCCCTGGGGCTTCTGGTTGTGTGCTTGGTGGGAGAGCTGGCAAGTCACCATGATTGGCATAATGGGGGATGGGAAGGCAGGAATGGGAAGGGTTGGGGTGGGGGTGGTTAGGGGTCAGAGAAAGCTTAAAGGTGGGCCTGGGTGTGGTTTTGGCCAGGAGTCTGAGGTCAGGGGCCGAGTCCAGGCTTGGCAAGGGGCTTGAGGTGGGGATCAGGGGGCAGGCAGTGGCCTCACTCGGTCAGGGGGCCGCAGCGAGTGCCACTGGGCAATGGGCCGCCGGGGGTTGGCCAGCATGTCTGCCCAGTGCCGCAGGCCAGCTCCCCCCACCGCTGCCCCGACAGCCACCCTCCCAATGGCCTCATTCTTGCCCAGCTTGTCATAGTCCAGCACGGTCAGCTCCACCTGGACCTTCTGGAGACAGGAAGAGCAGGGGGAAGAGAGACAGGAGTGTTGGAGAAGGAGGCAAGGCGCAGAGGGGATCGAGTATCATTGCCAAAGAGACCCTCTCCCTAGCAGCCAGAGGTCTAGGGGGACTTGTTAGCACCCTGCGCTAAGGTCTCTTAGGGGACTCCAACGGTGCCAGGGGTGGGAGTGGACAGAGGAGAGAGTCTCTGTTAGAGGGATGCTCTGGAGTCTTTCTTCCTCCGCGATCCGATTTCAAAGGAGATGAACCCTCAGGACCCCGTTGGTAAGGGACTGTTGGGGGCCTCCTTAGGGACTAGCCTCCTAAGGAGGGCAAACCGTCAAGACTCTGAAATGGGAGGAGGGGTCAAGCCTGAGTCCTGGCTGGGCCCTCTTCCTTAAGAGTTGTGGGGAAATCTTTCCCTTAGTACCCATAGCTCCTGAGCGGGACAGCCCGGGTCTTGCTTGGGGGCGGAACATACTGATCTTGCTTGGCGCGCGGGGCGCCCGGGTCCTCACAAGAGGAAACTGACTTTGGAAACACAACCTCAGGGCCCCAGGACCTGGTTTCCAACAGATGCGATGGGTTCTTCCTCCCCCTAGCAACAGGGGCTTTTCAGGGCCTGGGACCCTGGGGGAAGGGCTGCTCTGACGGGGCTTCGGGTAGGTCTGAGCTCACCTGCACCTGGTCACAAGGCACCTCGAAACTGAAGGCCTCGTTGTAATAGGGGTTCAGAGTGTTCTTCTTGATGGTCGTTTTCTTCTTCCGCACCTTCTTGCCGCCCTGCAGCAGGTGGACCTTGACGTACGGATCTGGGCGGAGAAAGGAGTCTTAGAGGCCCTGACTGGCCAGTGCAGGGCTCATGTTGAGGAGGATACAGGAGGCGCTTCTTCGGAAGAGCACAGAGACACCCTGTGTACCCCTCAGGGCTCTCTCCGTGTCCACAGCAAATCTACACCCTCCCCGGCAGTCCGGGGCCCTCTCCACCGGGGACGCTCGGGACCCAGAAACTGCGAGAAGCTTTGCTCCAGAGCCTCCCTCTCCACCCCCGGCCGCACCATTTGCTTGCTCCCCACACACCTGAGAGTCCTCCCACGTCCATCTTCTTCAGGTTCTTAGCCTCCAGGACGATGACCGTGAGCTTCCCGGCCGTGGGGACGTAGCGGAGGGAGAAGCAGATGTCACCGAGTTTCTCCTGCTAAAAGACAGAGCCCCAGCTTCACATCCATTCCCTCTCGGACCTTTCTTCCCCACCCCCCGCCTTAGAATGGAGGGGTCCAGTGACGACCACAGCCCTGCACCCGCCGGGACCAGCCCTCCGCCGCAGTTGCAAGTGCTGGAGCCCTGACGGTCCAAGAGGCCTGTGATCTGATTGGTCCGAGCGCGCGGTGGGCGGGCCCAGCGTGGGGTCGTGGCCACGCATGCTCACCTCCTCCCGCGGAGCAGCCTGCAGCTCGCGCCAGGCCAGCACTGGCCGCCCCAGGTCCACGGAGCTCATGGGGACCCGCACCTCCCCAATGGCATCGTTGCGGGAGAAGCGATCAAAGTCGTACACCGCCATGACCAGTACCCTGCCCCCCAGTTCCACGTAGGGGACCTAGATGAGGGGGCCACAGGGAAGAGAGCACAAGGCGGAGAGTGGGACGTCAGAGACGGGAAGTGAGGCACAGCAGCACATCCAGGTAGAATGCGACGACTCGGACAGCAAGGGTCCAGGGGAACAGCTGTGCGGAAGCCTCTGGAACCCAAATGGCACAAAGCAACAGCCCAGAGGTCAGCAGCGCCCCACGGGGACAATCCAGGGTCCGGTGTGATAGTCCCCAGAGCTGGAAGCTGCTACCTGAGCTGTGGGCTGGCTCCAGAAAAAGTTGAAGGGGTCGCTCCCCAGTGTTCCAGGGACGGGAGGCAGGTTACCAGGCCTGGGGCACAGAGGCCAGGAGCTCACCTTGAAGGCAAAGTTCTCCCCAAAGTGTGGGTTCAGTGTCTGCCGATGCACCTTGGTCTCATGCCGCCTCCGCTTGTCTGGCAGCAGGTAGACCCGCACGTAGGGGTCGGAGGAGCCCCCCAGGTCCAAGGCTGCCAATCCCTCAGCTTGCACGATGCCCACCAGCAGCTGAAAGGTGATAAGGGGACTCTAGTCTTAGCTTCCTTCTTGGAGCCTCCTCTAAAAAGGGGCTAGAACCCTCGGACCCTCCCCTCCCCTCCACACCACCCTCCTCCTCCGCACCCACCTGGCCGCTCTGGAAATCATAATCCAGTGAGTACTGCAGTCGTCCGAGCTCATGCTTCTCAGCCACCTGCGACCCTGGCCCAGATGGTGCTGGCTCCAGCTCCTCCACTTCTGGCTGCACCTTAGGGGGCCAGGAGCAAGGGCAGGTGAACTCTTCCCCTGACCCAGAAGCCAAGGGAGGCTCACTGATCCCTGAGCACTTGCTGGCTAAGCAGAGTCAGAGTTTGACTAGTGATGTCTGCCACAGGCAAGCACTAGTCATAGTAACAGAAAGGCAGTATTTAGTCAAAATGTGATTAATGATGTCTGCTGTGGGAGAGAACAGACAGGGTAACACAAGCAGCGTGCCTGTCACGCCTAGACTAGAAAAGCAGGTGCTCATAGCACCTTGTTGCCTACAAGAAGGATGCAGAAGATTTATTTCACATGCGAATGGAGGTACTGGGGTTGTTGTCCAAACTGACATGTTGACTAGTGTTCTCACCACAGAAAAACATGGAGGAGTAATAGTGCCTTTACCCTGTATTTGCCATTCTCAGCTAGAACAAGAGTTCTCCTTAACCTAAGCCAGCCATTTTCAAAATTCAACGCGAATCAGAATTCCCCTGAGAAATGTGGTAAAATGCCTTCACTTCAGATTGATTCGATAGGTCTGGGGCAAGACCCAGAATTCGTGTTTCCACAAGAACCTGAGGTGAGTCTGACGCAGGTGGTCTTTGGATGTCGCTGGCTTGAGGGACAGGGATGGAGGCTGGGCACCAGGACCCTAAAGGTCCTGCCTTATGGGTGATCGTGACAACAGCTATTTGTTGACAAGGGAGGAGAGGAAATACTAGTTACAGACCACACACTTGAGGCTCAGAGAGGGACAGTGAATTCCCCCAGGTCACAGAGCTGGGGAGTGGTTCCTCTGGGTTGGGAACCTGGGACTTCCTGGCTCCCAGGTGAGCACCGTTCCACTCTGCACTCAGACCTTGACACCCATAAGCTGTCATCTACCACTCCGGTGGACTCTTCCAACTCATGTTTCTTTCATTCTCTTGGGACTGCCACACCAGCCTCCTCCCTGGCCTCCTTGCCCCAAATCTGTCCTCCACATGGGTTCCAGAGGATTCATTCCACCACTCATGTGACCCTATTCCTTGGCTACACATGAATCTTCTATGGTTCCCAGTTGTGCTCGTGACATGTGTACAACTGAGATCCTCAGACACCCACTCTGGAGGGCAGCCTATTTGCCATCTGTGCCCCAGCTACTGTGAAATGCCTCAGGGTCTGGATTCCAGACCTTGAGCTACAATGTCCTCCTCTCTGTCCTCGGCGAACTCTGAGTGTTCCTTGGGTCTCAGCACAGAAGATATCTCTACTGGGAAGCATCCTTGGACTGTCCAGGCTATCAGGTGGTTTCTCTGTACCCACATACGCTCTGGGTGGCCCCATCACGGGGCACATACCACCCTGTGTTGTGAATGTCTGTGTGAGGGTCTGACTTCCCCACCAGAGTGGTTCTCAGGAACAGGGACTCAATCCAGCCTATCTCCAGATCCCCAGGGTCCAGGTCAGCGCTAAACACCCACAGAGATGAGCCAGTAAGGTGGGCATGGGAGGGAAGAAAGCGGGGACTGAGGCTGCTGGGCCAACGGTGCAGGACGGGGTAGGGCCAAGGGGTTGGGCCAAGCCACACCTTGTCTATGTAACTCCGGCCCAGCTCCTTCACTTCCTGAAGGTGGACCTGGGCTTGGGCCTGGCTCTTCTTGCCCAACCGCCTCCGACAACACTTCCGGTAGACACAGAAACAGCAGCCGAACACGAGGAGGCCTGAGACCAGAACGATTGCGGCCAGGGCCCAGGGGGGTACTGCAGAGGACGTGGAGACAACACTCATTGAGGCCGTAGGAGGCAAGCTGGCTGATTCAGTCCGGATTACACGCGGAAGCTGGAATCCTGGCCTTGTTTTCCCTCTGGCCATGTCCACTCCGTTTTGTCGCCCCGTTCTCCTTCCCACGGCTCTCACCCATAACGTGATCTGATGCGCTATTCTGGCCTGACACCATCCAGACTGTCTTGCCTGTTAATTCCACCTGCCCCTCCACCCCCGTTTCTGCTCAACCCCTGACTGCTGTAGAAGTCATGCCCCTCCCCCGGCCTCAGTTTCCCTGTCTTTAAAAGAAGACAGAGGTGGACCTTCCAATTCACCGTCCCAAGAGCCCACTCCATTCCACACTCTTTGATCTGGTTCTCGATTTCCTGTCAACCTGTTCCGTTTCCACTTCACTTCCTGTGAAGCCCAGGATTCCGACTACCTTGCCACCCGGATATTCCCGCCCACCCGCCGAGTACACCTGTCCAAACCCCGCCCCTGGGAATCCCAGTCGAGCTTTCCCTCCGCCCTGGCCCCAGGCTCGCTCACCCGGGGCAGGGCCGATGCGACTCGAGTCAGGAGGCGCGTCGGGCGCTGGAGGCCCTGGGGTTGGAGGCTCCGAGAACATGACGGCGGGGTCTTGCGGTCCTTTCTGCGGAGACACCCAAGAGCCCTAGGCCCCACGCCCACCCCGTGCGTTCACTGAAGCCTCCAAACAACGAAGAACTCCAATTCCCATCGGCACCCTGGGCGGCCGACCACATAGGACACAACCAGCAGCCGCGAGGCATGCTGGGGGTTGTAGTGTCAGCCTCCCCGCGATGGAGGACGCGCGCCAGGAGTGGGTTCCAGGACCTAGGTCCATCCCACAGGGACGCCCCCGCCCTCCAAGGCCCCGCAGGAATCCCTCCGACTTCTATCCCTTCCGTGCCCGTCCCCGCGGGCCTGAACCGGAAATGGGCCAAGGCGGGCGTGGGAACCGGGGCCCTGGGTTGCCCCGAGCGACGGACGGCAGGTTCGGGCCGGCCGGGAGCTACGAGGGTTGCCCTGGCAACGGGCTGTTGGCAAGACAACAGGCGGGGCTGACGTACAGATGCAGAGTCCAGGCGCCGCAGGCTCGCTCCTCGCCGGGTCAGAACCCCAGCCCCTGACCCCGCGCAGAGCGAGAGTGGGGAGAGGGCGGCCTCGCGCGTCGGGGCACGCGCCCTCGGCTGGCTCCTCCCTGCACATCTGGCCCTGCGGGCGGTGACTCGGGCTCCCCGCCCTCTCCCTCCAGGGCCGAGGGCTCCCTGGTGCCACCGCCGGGGTGGGGTTGGCAGGGGGTGTGGGGTGGGGGCGCACATCCTTCCCCGCCTGCTGTCTCTCCCGCGCACCCCGAGCTCTGTCTTCAAACCTGGCCTTGTGACCGCCTCGGCCTCAGCACCTCTCTCTCCACTCCCTATTTCTGTCCATTCTCCCACCGGGCTCTCGCCGCAACCCGGTCTGTGTCTCGTCCTCGGCCTGTGGTCTGGTCTGTGACTCCAGGGGTCTCCCAGTCTCGCCGCCTGCCTGTTCCGCCCTGCCTCTGCTCTTTGTCTCCACACCTGTCTAAATCCCGATCTCTCCATTTCAAGCTCTAGTCCTCCCACTTCCTCGGTCGGTTCCTCCCCAGTGCCCCCCCCCCCCCGCACACGCCCCGTCTCTCTAGGGATGGGGATGAGGAGGGGGCTTAGGGCGGGCTTCCCAGAGACTCCTACCTGCTCGGCAGCTGGACTGGACCCTCGCAGGAGACACCTAGGCGCCTGCCCCTCCCGGACCCCGCCCCCGCACGCGGGCGGGTGGCGCTGTCCTCGGTGCTGATCGCCCCGCTTGGTGGGGTGGGGGCGCGGCAGAGCGGAGCCGGCTCGTGAGTGTGTGTGTGTGTGTGTGTGTGTGTGTGCGCGCGCGCGCGCGCGCGCGTGCGTGTTAGGTCCCGGGTACAGGGAGAGCCCCGTCCCGCCCCTCGTCCCGCCCCCAGCCAGGAACCACTAGGGTGCCCACGGATATTTATCCTGGTCCCGGAGGATTTTCTGTTTTCTGATCCAGCTGTCTGGCATCCAGGCCACCTCTCCCCACCTGGGCCCCCACCCCCGCCAGGATACCCAGTCCAAGGACCCTGGAGCCTCCCTCCGGAGACCCAAGTAGTCAGATATCCAGCCGGAAAGTCTCCAGTGAATACGCCCCAGACCTCACCCCACCCTCTAGGTTCCCCAGCACCAGGCCCAGGAAGCAAGACCCTATGAGCCTAGCTTCAGCAAATGGCGTCCACACTGCCCAGACCCTGGACACAAGTGTGGACCTCCAACCCTTTCTGAGAGACGGGACCATCCAAACATTTTTTGGGGGGATGCCAAATTGTGGGTCCCTCTAGCTTCTCTCCCAGGACATTAGCCTCAGGACCTGAACATCAGGAATCCAGCCCTTCTCCTACCCCAGACCCAGAAATCCACTCTAGCAAGCGTCTCTGGAGAGAATAGTGATTTAATAAAATACGTACAAGCAATGGGGTGCAGGGAAATCTCAGATACTAGGAGCCTGATTTGGTTTCTGGAATAAAACATGGGTGGATCCTGCCTGCCCTTGCTCCTGGGGTCACTAGAATTCCAGACTCTAATTTCTTCCTTCCTCAGAATCCATCTTCTTTCTCAAAGACCCTGCAGCCTGAGCCCCCAGCCTACCCCTCCATCAAAGAAGAAGGAAATCCTAGCTCCCATTGGTCCTTCCTCAGAGGAAGTCCAGGATACGTGGATACCTGGATAACCAGGATACCTGCTCCCACCTGTCCTTCATCCTCCATGGAAACAGTTTAGGCTGCCAGGCCTCTTCTCCCCCTGCAAGACCCCAGAGTCTGGGACCCCAGCCTTGTGTTGTCCCAGGACTCCAGGAACCTGGGCGGAAGTGGGGATCCAGACTTTGAGTTTAGCTGGTCTGGCATCTCAGCCCTCCTGAGGCTCAGACATTCTCATACAGCGGGTTCTCATATGCAACCCCGTTGTCTGGTGGAACTCGGCCTGACTGCTGGAGAAATCGTAGGATGCAGTGGTGCAGGAAGACATACTGGGCCTGGGGAGGGACACAGGGCAGGGGGGTGAGCCTTGACCTCCTCCCTCCCAAAGCCCCAGGCCTTATGCCCTCGGGAGCCCCATCACCTCAGTCTGCACCATCAGAGGCCGGCTTTCCCTCATCTTCTGCACATAGCTGAAGGGCCCCACACGTTGATCCTGGTCCAGCTGCCTCAGCAGGACGTCCAGGGCAATGAGGGTACCCGTGCGGCCCACGCCAGCACTAGACAGGAACAAGAAGGGGTCAGGCCACAGGGAGGGGGAATCTTGGCTGACCAGAGGGATCTGTGTTTGAGCACCCAAGATCGGGGTATTATTTGGCAAGACGGCGTTCTGCGGGGGATACAGTGTAAGTGGGGGTTATTGAGTGGAGTGAAAAGCCACTGCGAGTGATTAGGCCTGGAGTTCCATCTCTCTGCCAGCCCTGCCTCAAGTGCCTGACATACCCTTTACACTTCCCCCAGCCATGAGAGTTTGAAGCTGCCCGCATACCCATTTTAGGGATGGGGAAATGGAGGGGGAGTGACATGAGGTCACTTGTCCGTCCTGGGTCATTTGGACAATAAACCACAGAGCTGAATTTCACACTCAAGAAAAGGAACTCCCAAGCTGATTATTAAAAAGCAAACAAACAAACAACAACAAAAAAAAAGAAAACAATTCAGTGGCATTTAGGACATTCACAATGCTGTGGAACCGCCAGATCTAATTAGTTCCCAGACACTTCCATCTCCCCAGAAGGAGACCCTGTGCCCATTAAGCAGTTGCTCCCCCTGCTCCCCTGTCCCCAGCCCCTGGTAAGCATTGAGCTGTCTTCTGGCTCTGGAGAGGTTCCCATCCTGGACATCTTCTGCAAGTGGGATCAGACGACGTGGGACCTTTTGTGTCTGGCTTCTCTCACTCACCATCAGGTTTTCAAGATTCCTCCACATCCTCGAACGAATCAGTACTTCATTCCTTTTTACGGTTCAAGTTAATCCCTGTGACCAGTCTGTACCAGGCCCCTCTGTGCTTCAGGGGAGGGAGGGCTGACCCCCTGCTGGGGACACCTCCAGGGGGTGCTTTCCGGGGACAGGGCAGGTGTTGGGACACACTTCAGCAGAGTTTAAGAGTGCCAGCCCAGACATCAGTTCGGCCACTTTGGCCTTGAACCGGCCTTGAACCCAAGACTTCAGCTTTCTGACTGGGCTTCCCCAGCTTTGCAGCAGGGAGGAAACCCTTTTGGTCATGAGGTTGCCCTGCGGGCCAGGGAGAGCGAGGCTGTCCCTGCAGCCAGAGTCCCATTTCAGAGGCTGTCCGCCCCTCTGGAGCATGCTCCTTGATTCCTCCCAGAACCTCATCTCAGAGGCATCAAGCTCAGTATCAGGAGAATGGTGACGGGTGAGGTCCTGGACAGCGCCGGAGGTGTTCCAAATGCTTCTCAAAACCGCTGGGTGCTCACCCTTCCTCCTGCTCTTCACCCCTCCCTCCCTTGTCCCCACCACTGCGTTCCCTTCCTTGACCTTTCTGCCTGGCCTTCCAGTCCTGTCACCCCAACCTCCTGTCCCTCTACCTCACTGCCCCTTTGCTTCTGCCTCCGTGTCCTCCATCCTTGTCTCCTCTCTCCCATCTGCAGAGATGCCCGAGGACCCACTGACCCAGGTTCCTGACTCCCCTCACATGAGGGGGTCCTCACCTGCAGTGCACAATGGGGGGGCCTCCCTCCGTGGTCTGGTCCAGCCACTGCCGCAGCACCTTCTGGAAGGCCAGTAAGGGGTCTGTGGAGTGGGGGACGCCATGGTCTGGCCACGTCATGTAATGGAACTGTCGCACAGGCAACGTTTTCTGCTCTTGCATCTAGAGGGAGGGTGGGTTGGGGAGGGAGAGAGTTGGGGGGGGCGTCCCTGGGCACTGTGGTCCCCTGGGAGAGTGACAGAGGGCTCGGCTTCAGGAGGGGCTCAGAGGCGCAGAGCAGGTGTTGGGGGAGGAATGGACCGTCAGGATGGGGCTGGCTGGGTACCACGGACTCACGTGCTGGAGCGTCAGGTCTCGGACTGTCCAGTCCTCCAGCACCTCCTCGCCCTCCAGCGTCACTTGGAGGTGCCCATATGTGCAGGGCTTGGCGTCAAGAGGCCAGTAATGTTCACACTTCACCTGGGGGCAAACTGGGAGGTCAGAGAACAGAAGGCCCCAGACAACCCGTCCGCTGCCCGTCTACACTGGGGCGCTTGCATTCAGTGCCTGGTGAGGAGGTAAGACCCCAGGACAGCCGGGGTCCATTCATCCCAGCCAGGGGGACCCCTCCCTTCTCCAGGTCAGTGGGTTATATGGATCAAGGGATGTGCTGGGGCGACCGGAAGAGGCTGCCATAGTATGGCAGGGACTCAGCGAGGTCTGGGTCAGGGTGGACGGTGGGATCTTTGTCTGAGCCAGCGGGGTGGGTTGGAGCTCAGGGCTCTCACTTGGCCGGATTCCACACAGTTGGTCAGCATGATGAGGGTGCGGCTCTGCTGCTCCCACACCAGGCGCCAGAAGTCACCCACCGTCTGGCGTAGGGGCCCCTGGGTTGCGATGAACTCCTGGGGGTTCTTGAGACCCTGGTGGAGGGAAACAGGCTCCAGTCCCTCCCATCTCGGTGTCACCCAGGCCCAGCACCCTCTTGGCTCCGGACCACCACCTTACAGGCACGAAGCTGGCGTTGATGTAGTCAGAGCCTGGCTCCTCCTGGATGGCTTTCAGGGGCACACGGGACCAGTCATCTGGGGGGAGAAGCCAAGGTTAGTGAAGCAGAGAGGGGCATGTAGGGGGAGAGACCCAGGGACAGAAGTCACGCAGACAGCAGACAGGCACTGGGAGCTCTAAGAGGGGCCGGGTGCCCACTCCTCAGGGGCAGGAGCTTGGTGTCCCCTAGGGGATAGGGGGTGGGGGACTGGGGTTGACAAACTCATGAAATCAGCAGAGGCCGAAGACTCACAGGGGAACACGTTTCTGTAACGGTTCTTGGTGCTGTTTTCAGGATCCAAGGCCACTGTTTGAGACTGTCTGCGGGTCTCCAGAGCCAACCGCTGGAGGCAGAGGCAGAGGGGAGGTGAGCGCGCATCGGAATCTCTCCACCTTCCCCCGCAGGCACCCCGTTCAGCACCACCCCACTCACCCCCACGCCCTGGAATTCTCTAGCACCCACAAAAATAGAGCATGCATGCCCCCATCCCCGCAGAGCACTTGGGAGGATTTGGGGGATAGTGGGGGCTGGAGAGGTAGGAGAGAGAAAGGGGACCCTTTCAGAGGAAAGCAAAGGTGCTCCTCCAGGACTGACCCCAGGGCCCATCACAGTGTAAGATTTCGAGGACGCAAAAACAGAAGCTCCTGTTTGCATCAGCAAACAAAACAGGTGCCCTGCTTTAGTTTCAGCCCAAAGGGTGTGAGGAGGTCTGAGCTGGGCGGGGGGCATTGGGGCTCAGCTCTGTACCCTTGCTTCCCACCCACCTGATACTCCTCTACAAAGCCAGAATTGTTGTCCTTCTCATTTTTCCTGACATGGTCAGCAAAGTCTTCTGCCAGGATGTCCTCTGAGGAGCTGTGGGAAAGGGGCAGAATTTAAGCTCCTCCAGTCCTGTGCTCTTGGGAAGACAGAGAAGCCCCCCTCTTTTTTTTAACTCATTGTTATGTTTCTTTCTTTCTTTCTTTCTTTCTTTCTTTCTTTCTTTCTTTCTTTCTTTCTCTTTCTTTCTTTCTTTCTTTCTTTCTTTCTTTCTTTCTTTCTTTTAATTTGATAGCGAGAGGGAACACAGCAGGGGGAATGGGAGAGGGAGAAGCAGGCTTTCCACTGAGCAGGGAGCCTGATGTGGGGCTTGATCCCAGGACCCTGGGATCATGACCTGAGCTGAAGGCAGACGCTTAACCACTGAGCCACCCAGGTGTCCCTTGTTGTGTGTTTCTTAGCATCCCCAGGACCCGTTCGTCTTATAACCGGAAGTTTGCACCTTCTGATCCCCCTCACCCAACTCGCCAGCCCCCCTTCCTCTGCCTCTGGCCATCACCCTCTGGTCTCAGTTTCTATGAACTCAGTTTTGCTTTTTTAAACTTCAAATATGAGTGATGTCATGCAGAATTTCTCTTTCTCTGTCTGACTTATCTCACTTAGTGTCATGTCCTCGGGATCTGCTCCCCGTGTCACCAATGTCAGGATTTCCTTCCTTTTTAGGGCCGTATCACACTCCGTTGCATGTACGATCCATTTTCCGTATGCACTCACCCATCAGTGGTTGCTCAGGGTCTCCGAATCTTGCCAGCACACATAAGGCTGAAGGGAACGTGGGGACCCACATACCTCGTCAAGAGAGTGGTCCCGTTTCCTGCACACGGATACTCAGAAGGGGACGTGCTGGGTCAAAATGTGTGTTTGATTTACAGTCCCACTCCCGAGCGGAAAGTGGGGTCTTGAAAGGACAAGTGTGCACCCAGGTTCATACCAACATTATTCAAAGAACAAAGGCAGAAGCAGTCCGGAGTCCACTATCTTTCGTTCCCCGCTCACTCACTCAACACTGCATTCATCGGCAGAACACGGATGGACAAAACGGGGTCTGTGCACTGGAATATTGTCCTGCCTTAAAAAGGAAGGACATCCTGGGGGCCCCTGGAAGGCTCAGTTGGTTAAGTGTCTGCCCTGGGCTCAGGTCATGATCCCGGGGTCCTGGGATCGAGCCCCGCATCGGGCTTCCTGCTCAGCGGAGAACCTGCTTCTCCTCCTTCTGCAGTTTTCCCTGCTTGTGCTCTCTCACTCTCTGTCTCAAATTAATAAATAAAATCTTTAAAAAAGAAAGAAAGAAAGGTTATTCCGACTGAGGCTACACCATGATGAGTGTGGAGAACATGATGCTGAGTGAGATAAGCCAGCCACAGAAGGACAGATACTGATGAGTCACTTCAATGAGGTCCCTAGAGCCGTCGGATTCATAGAGACAGAAGGTGGATGGTGCAGCTAGGCGCTGGGGCAGGGGAGGGGGGAGGGCATTTTGTGGGGGCAGAGTTTCAGTTCTGCAAGACGGAAAGTTCCATGGACGGACAGGGGTGATGTTTACACGACAGCGTGAACGTCCTTACAGCCACGGAACTGGACACCCAGAGACAGGTACGACGGTAAATGCTATGTTATGTGTAACTGACCACAATTAAAGCCATTTTTAATTATAAAAAGGAAAAACGTGCTTTTTCTCCCATTTCGGGCCACTCTGCGTCTCCTGGGTTCCAATTCGCTCCAACCTTTCCAGCATCAGTCCCTCCTCCTCGTCTGCATTTCTGCCTCTTTCCCTTTAGCTAGCAAATGCTAGTAATCTCTTGTCTATATGAACAAAAAGGCTTTTGACTCATGGAGCTCCAGCTGCAGCCCCCTCCCGCTCCTCTCCCTTCAGGAAAGCTTTAGAAACCCTGTCTCGACCCAATTTGGAGACATTGGCTGGGGGCCAGTGTGTCCCATGTCTTGAGCTGTGGTTAAACCCACACACACACCACCTCCTCCATGGGGTCTCACGCTCTGGGCCACAAAGCACCTGCCCTCGGCCCCCGGGGAGCAGCCCCTGTGCCCCAGAGGTCAGCGAAGCGATTCCCTCCGAGCCTGTCGGCCTGCTGTTGCCCACTCCTTCCCACAGAAACCATGATCGAGGCTCTTGCCCGCCTTACCCCCAGCCCCCCTCTTTCCCGGTTGAGCTGCGTGCTTCCCTGTGTAGCCCTGAGGGCTATCCCGTGTCCCCTCTCTTGGGATCCGGGAGTCTCATAGCCTGTGTTTTCCATGGGGGTCACCTTTCCACCCTTTGTCTTTATTGCACCTAAACAGTAACAGAGCGTGTTCAGACAGCCGTGCTGCTTGAACTTCCCCAAGGCCGTCTCCAGGGGTCTGCAGCACTGCTCCACGGGGGAAGCACATCTTCCCCCAGAGTCCTGCAATCTCATTTGCCTCCTGCTCTCTAATTCCAAAGGCCACCTCTCAGGCGGTCCTTGGGGAGACTGCTCAGCAGCGTGTAGCCCCGCCCACCGCTCCTCCCTTCCTCCTGGACCCCTCCCCTGCTGCC